GGGAGGGAGGGAGGGAGGGGGATGGACGGACGCACTGATGGACGGACAGAGACATGGGCGGATGGCTGTGGCTGGATGGATGGATGCGTGCATGTGTTGTGCATGCATGTGTACATATGCATATCTATACGTGTGTATAGGAAAACTCATACATATATACATATGACAGACATATATACGTGTATAATATACGTACATATATATATATATGACTCATGTACACGTGACTATGTGATGTATGTCACACACGCACGCATACCTACACCGATACCGCTACCTATACCTTAACATGTTATACACATCTATATGAGTATGCATAAATATACATATGCAAATTGAGAATGGGTTATATATATATATACATTTATGCTCATGTACTATCAGATAATAAAGTATAATATGCTAGAACACAACATACTGCAGTATAGTATATGATACAGTATGAAAACAGATAATATGTAAGATGTAACATAAAGATACTGAATGTACGAACGATGTAGTACAACATTATCACAAGATATACCGTCCTGTAATTTGAAAAACATCAGTGCAACATAATATAGGATAATACAATACACTATAATTTAAAACAGAAGTAAATAATCCAACGCAGCGTCATATGATAGAACACCGTATAGTACGTTAACTATAGAGTAGAGAACACAAAATACATAGAATTTAACATAATTATGAAATAATCATATGTGACACACACTGCATAATGCGCAACACATAATAATACACTGCACTCACTATTGTAACGGAATAAGATATGATGCAACTTACTGTTAAGTATTACATCAAAGTTAAAAAATGGGACACAAAAATGTAATGAAATGAAAACACAATTCGACTTAATTTCAATTAAGCTTATACTCTTACTCATATTGTATACTCTGAGAGTGAGAGAGAGACAGAGCGAGAGAGAGAGAGAGAGAGACAGGAATAGAGAGTTAATCATGCGTTGGATGATGTACTGATCTGTTCATTTACTGTACCAAAAAAGGCCAGAGAGAGAGTGTGTCATGCGCACACACACACACATACACAACACACCCACACACACAGACAGCCACGCACAACACACACGCACTCACACACACACACACAACACACACACACACACAACGGGCCGCAGACAGACAGAGACAGACGCAAACAGACAGAGAGACAGCCAGCCAGGCAGGCAGGCAAACGAACAGACACACAAACACACACTGAAGCCTCAACGGCTTGGCGAGCTTGTGGCAGGCATGGCAGGGAAGGACTTGTGTCGTGGCCACGACGGAGACCATCACCGGACCGGAGGTCAGAACGAATTGTGCCCGACGGCCCGACGAGCAAGGCTAGCCGCGAGCTCTTTGGTCCGCGGCAGGCCTATCGACCGAAATTGACCAACGTAATCCTTCTCATGCTGCACCATTCCATGAGAATCATATACATCCAGCAGTTTGGCACCGATGAAGAAAAGCATGCGTCGGCAAGCACACAATCCTCATGGATCTACGCGTCTCCGCATGCAACACAAAATGCCTGGAAATCACGACATGGCAAGTTTGAGGGTTTCGGCTTAAGGTGCGGGACGCATCTGGAAAATTCGGTTGACTCTCCCCACTGTCCCCAGCCTCAAATTCAAGGTTTTGCAGCCTGAAGTTGCCAGTGCAATCCACTTTGGCTGTAGGGTCGTAGGGGTCGGGATGGGTGCGGTCACCTACCACTGATGCCCACGAGTCTGGAATAACATCACAGCACGCCAACTCTGTGACCAGTTACATGCCTTCACTTCTACGCTCTGATGACCCCCGATTCTTCAAGCCTACACCAGGACGGTTGCTCCCTCGCTCGCAGGGCCCAGGCCGCCATGAAGAAATCCCACCTCGACAGTTCAAAGCCCATTTCTGTGAGATCTCAACACTTCTGGGTTCGACCGACCCTTTCTCCTAGACCTCTACATCTCAAGCCCTACAGGCTAAACTCGTCTCGGAGCATTACCTCAGATCGGGTTGCGAGTCTACCTGAGAGTCTACCTTATCTTGATATGGTTCCATGCTGACACAGGCGGGTTGGTTGTTGCATGTTCTCGCTTAAGAAAACTTGAAGCCGTATGCACAGCTGACTTGCAGGGTCTGTGTACACAGAGAAAGACAGGAAGGAAACAAGAAGAAGAGAGCGAGCTATGCTATCCTCAATAAACTTGGCCTTCAGCTTGAACTTTGAGACATGTCAGGTGGACTGCCTCCTTCTAGTGGCTGCAAAAGGTAACGCAGGCATGGGGCTGTGCCCTTAAGGTGTTGAGGTGGAGTGTCGTTCTGCGCCTCGTTTGTCCGTCACGTGTTGGGCCACATGCGGGTCGAACCACTCAAGGCGCCCAAACCGACGTGGCTCTTTGTGAGCCTTGTCCTGCTGCAGGCCAGGGTCTCATTGCCACCGCGCCAATAGCAGGCCGCACAATGTACCGGTCCGGCCCTGGACTCTGGGCTCCCAGAAGTCGGCGAGGGATATCGAATCCAGCTGACAATGTCTGCTGCAGTTGCAGTCCCGAAGCAATCCAAGAGAGGCAGCAATCGCGGCATGCTAAGTGCAGGTCAAGAAACCATGAACTTTCATAGTTTCTGGAAAGGGTTTATGTCCACAGTATTACACTCAAGTATTACGCTCTACATTCGGGCTCGTTTAGGGGGAGGCATGAAATATTGGCTGATTGGCTGACATGCATCGCTCTTGGCTGCAGATCGGAAATGTCGACAAGGCTTGCCAGCAGAACCCTGACTCACTGCGGGCTGGGCTGGGCAGGCTGGGCAGGCTGGGCTGGCTGGGCTGGCTGGGCTGGCTGGGCTGGCTGGGCGGGCTGGGCTGGGCTCTGCGAGGGCGCAGGCAGGCACTACATGCTTCTGGGGAGGGCGCGGGCGAGCCTGGTAAATCGAGCAGTAAAGGCAGGAATGCCCATTACACGCTGTTTCCGGGAGAGTCTTCAGGGGCTCTGGGGAGGGTGTGGGTGGGCCTGGTAAATCGAGCAGCGGGAGCCCCCACCCCACCCCAACACCGCATCCCAACACCCCATCCCACTCCACCCTACACAACACAAACGCCACAACTATGTGCTGGCTCGTCACGTCGTCTGAGCTCTTTCGTGCCTCACCGCTTGCTGCTACATTGCTTGCTCTCAGAAACAGCCCCAATGCCTACAGCGGCAAGCGGCGCTGAATGTGCCATGCGCAACACTGTAACACCGCCCACAACTTGCCCGAATCCGAGGCGTAATACCTAAGCAGAACACGAAAACCAATAGAATCCAAGACAAAGTTTACCACAAGACGGGCAAGATAAGGACCTCAGACAAAAAGGCCCGAGTTTGAGGAAAACCACGTAATCCGACTCAGCCGACTACCACCACCGCCGCCGTCGCCACGGCTGCCAGCACCACCAGCAACGGTAGAAAACAACTACCGGGTGGAACTTACCAAAATGCGGAAATGGAACGAATTATTCTGACTCCTTGTCCTGGAAACTGTGTTGACAAGAACTGAGCCTAGAGTAGATGACCTGCCCCTGCATGTCTCTTAAAAATGTTTTTCTCCGATGGCCTTGGTCACTATGTCTTACAGCCGCACCCAAAATCTGCAAATGCCTAAACCCCGAACCCTCACGCAGGCCCCGGAGGCTCAAAGACACAACCTTTAAGTCAAAATTCAAACGTCGAAGGGGCACCTTGTTTTCACCTTCCGGCTACGTTGTCCAGCTGCAGCTGCGCGTTTCTGGCACCTTTTTTTCACCTTTTTTGTACGTTTTTGCATGTTTGTTGACGCCTTTTTTTTTCCTTTTTGTTGCCTTTTTTTTGCGTTTTCCCTAGCAAAACGCAAAAAAAAGGCGCTCCACTTCCCCCTCCAGGCCCCCTTGTAGACTCGAAAAAACCCGCTCGTAGATCAAAAAAATTCAATTCCGTGTCACCAAAAACCTTCGAAGCCGCCTAATAGCCTAAAGCCAAAATCCATTTAACAAACAACGAATTCCGAACCCCCAAAGGCCGAAAACCACCAGACTTCACAGCCCTCTTTTTGAGCAGGGACTGCAATGCACTAAGCGAGCCCCGAAACCCTACGCCTTACCCCGAAGTCCCAAGCTTTTGGCCTCTCCCCGAGGTCCGTCGCAGATTCGGCGAGCCACCCCCCGTTCGGGGTGACCATGGGTGCCTTGCAGTAGGGTTTAGGGTTGTCAAGTTTCGGCGAGGGAGAGTGGGTTTGAGGGGGTTTCGACTCGCACACTCGCACGAATGCAGGCACGGACTCATGCGGTCGGGATTGCTACTGGCAAACCGCCCACGTGCTCCAAGCGTGCCTCTGTCGGGTGCGTGAGCGTGAAGTGCCTCAGCCGGCAACAGCCAAGAAAGACCTTCGATGAGACCTACTTCCTTGGCGGCCTGGGGGCTGCACGAGGCCCAGCTTCACAGATGTACATCATCCAAGAGAAGTTGGGCAAGGTTCAAAGGTTGCCCCGGCACGCCCGATCACTCAAGCTCTTGGCGTCACTTTTCCATCTCTGACAGATCTCCTGCGGAGAAAGCACACGATCCAAGCCGCAGAAATCAATTCCACTGCCCCTCGCATCGCGTGATCACCTATACTTCGACCCCCATGCTCCGTGCCTGATATACCCTCGAGCCACCTTGTCTCTCAAAGGGAAGTGCCCTCAGCTCATGTCATAAATGGAACTCACACCGGACTTCGCGCAGGGTTTTGGCCAAGCCGACCCCAAAATGCTGCAGATATGATGAACTCCAATAGATACGCAATGTAGGCTGGCCCTCCCAGGCGTCCAGGGATGAAGTTAATACGATTCGACAGGCCCCGGCTACAAGCATCACCAAGAGAAGAGCTCGATCTTCTGGCGAAGATCGAGCCCAGCTGCTGGATCTTGCTATGGTGCTTCGTCTGTGACTTCTCTAAGAGAGAAACATGCCAGAAGTATACAAAACCCCTCCTTGCTGTGATGACTAAAACTATACCCCTTCTTGGATAGAACCCGGCTCAGTCCATCAAGGAAGTCTCCCTTACATAAACCCGAATCTCAAAGCCTCTAAGCCCGGCTATGCGTCTGAGATCCTGCAAAAGCTGCTTGACCGTGGCGCAATGCAGCAAAATCTGCATGACAGCCGCGAAGATTCTGTAACCTAAAACTAAACCGTGAGATGAACTTTGCTATATCTCACACTAAACCCTAAACCTGGATCCACTTGAAGCACCAAAAGACGCCACTTCGGTTAAAGAGGACGCCGATCGCAGCAGCCTGACGCAGCCTGGGCCTCGAAGATACCCCAAGAACAGAACAGCTTAGGGTTTTTGGGGACTTGGGCCACGGAACACCTTGCGGGGGCCAGCTCGGCAGGCGGGCTCAGCGACGGACAAAGAAGCCGAAAACGCCAGCTCTATCCTTTGCCTGTTGGGGTTAGGGCGGTTCGGGTTCAGGGCGAACTCCAATGGCAAACCCGATGGCCTAAAGGGCCTAAGTCCTAAGCTGAGCCCGACCCCTCGGAGAGATAAGCGCTTGGCTCACCGCACGCCCTCAGAGTGTTCCGATCATGGGGACCAAGGGTTTCTAGGTCTCTGGGAGATTCTGGGGTTGGTATTCGTTGATATTGCCATGGCTACAAGTATGGCGGCCATGGCTATTGAAATTGTGTAGGTACTCTTTCTGTCAGTACTCTTATGCAGATCCCTCTGGTTGTCTGCTGTTGTGAATAGGATTCGGGTTTGACAGATCCGTGGCGTGCCTTGACGGCGAAGCCCTGAAGCATTGCTTGAAAAACTAAAGCTTCAAGCCCGATTTGTTTGAGATAAGGGCCTTGATTATTCGAATAGGGTTCCGAGGTGGAAACGATGATAGGGAACCCTAAGATCTTCCTTACTTAAGGTGGAGGCTCCTTTGTTGAGTGTCTAGGGTTGTTAGGGTTCAACATCCGTCAATTTATGGACTCCCCTTGTGTTCGTTCCTTTTTTGGGAGCCACACTATTCAGCTTCTCTAGCAACCGACTCCTGTGTTCGGAAAATCCGACTGGTACATACATAAAAAAATAAAAAGCGCAAACTTCAGTCGCTCAGAACATTCTGCCAAATAGCACACGTACAGGAGTTATAGTGAAGCCTACTCATGAGCATCTGAACAAGCAGCACCAACAGCAATAATCTGAGTCACGATGGTGACGAAAAATAGTGGAGGATAGACTTTCTAGGAAATCTACCCGGGACATCCACGGACGCTCTCACGGACAGAGGCTTCACAACCCGGCAAGACCAGGTGCGGCTTGCACTTGCAAGAAGTGTCGACATCGTGTATCAGTCCATCATCCGAGATGTAGAAATAAAGCGGTGCATGAACTGTTGGAAATCTACCACTGACATGGTCGCAAACAAAGGCTTCGCAATCTGGAAGAACCAGGCGTGCCTTGCACTTACAAAAGAACTGCTGACAACGGATATCAGCCCAGCATCCGAAGGAGCTGAGCCCCAAGCTGAAAGTCAGATTAATTCGTCCCACATCCAGTCAAGCTGGAGCTGTGGGTTCTGCCATAGAAGCAGAGCCGTTTCGTCAGCCTGGCACCGTTAGAGTTATCGTCACAGCTAGCAGTAGTGCTAGTGGTACTACTTGTAGCTTGTAAGGGTAGTGGCAGTGGTACTGGAGTGGTAGTGACCCACTACCACTACGAAACTACTCTCCTACTCCTACTCCCGCATCTGCTGCTGCTTCTGCCACTAATACGGCTGCCACTGCGACGACCATCACGACGACTTTGACATCAACTAGTACTACTTAGTCAAGGCACCAGTATGAGAACAAATCAAACCCTTTTGTTCTCTCGTCGGGTCTCTGAGGTTGCATGATATGAAGCTCTAACTTACCTTCAGTTTGCGCGGAGATGCAGTATGGTCCGTTTCCTAGACTTTGGAGTGCAGCATCACCACCATGTCTTCCACTGAGCTTGCTGAAACCAACAAACGAGCGCAACTCAAGGTACTTATTGCACTGCTTCTTGTGTTCGTGTCGGCTCTGGGTCTTCAGGACTTACGCTCCAACAACCATACTCGTGGGCAAAAAAACTCAAAAGCTCAGGGCGTCCAGCTTCGGATGACGGCTGTTGTGAGACAACCGCAGACGCTCCAAGTACAATTGGTGCAAATGGATCTTGAAACACTTGCGGCAGATGCCGGAGCACGCATGGGCCTGCCTGTGGCCTGGCAGAGCTACCTCACTACTGCTGTCATCCAAGTGTCATCTCATGTCATCATCGCGACTACAATCATGAAATGATGTAAACTAACTCTTACCCTGTTTGCTCTTACTACACTGACTTGAGCAGCATCGGCATGACGACCGACCACCACCGACATGACGACGACTGCACCTCTGCCACCACTACCACTATGTCCCTACAACCGCCACTGCCATTACTACCGGTACTACCGCTACTACAACTATTACAACCACTACAACCGCTGAAAATACAACAACACCTACTACTACTACTACTACGACTACTACTACTACTACTACTACTACTACTACTAGTACTACTAGTACTACTGGTACTACTAGTACTACTAGTACTACTAGTACTACTAAAGCTACAACTAGTATTAATACTACTAGTACTACTAATGCTACTATCAGTACTACCACTAGTCCTAGTACTACTACTACTACTACTACTACTACTACCACCACTACCACCACTACTGTTACTACTACTACTACTACTACTACTACTTCTACTACTACGACTATTACTACTACTACTACTACTACTACTACTACTACTACTATTACTACTACTACTACTACTACTACTACTACTACTACTACTACTACTACTACTAACTACTACTACGACGACCACGACTACTACTGCTACTACTACTGCTGCTACTTCTGCTACAACTGCGACTGCTACTGCTACTACTGCTGCTGCCTCTACTAGTACGACCAATCCTGCAGCTGCTGCTGCCACTGCTGCGCGCACAGCTGGCCAGTGCCCTCCAGTCGGCCAAGACGGGTCTCGGAACATGCACGCAACTGCGTAATTTACCTGGAGGAAACGTCAGACCTTACATAACAGTTCGCCCAACACTCTCCCGACCTCTCGATGGCTACAACATCTCCTCCTGCTGCATCCAGTGCAACAAGACTGAATCCGCCTGGAAGGTGCTTCCGAGAAACTCTTACGCAGGGTATTCTTGAACAGTGCAACCCTGAACACCGGGTCATTCCGCCTACAATCAACGACTCCTCTGCTGCGCACACCCCTCCGATTTAGTGCTCCTTCGGGCAGCCTGGGCGGAATTCAACCACAGCTCGGTGCAGCAAAGCTTTGACTTCCTCGCGCGTGCTCGACGAGAACATATGGGCATCGAAGATGTCTGAATTGCTTTCGAAAGCAGTCATATTCACGACAAACGGGGGCCGCTCACTGAGGTCCAAGCTCTTCAGATCTCGAAGCCAAGCTTCCTCACCAAGGAAGATTACAAAGGGCTTGTCCTGGCTGTATCTCTGTGAATTGAACACAGCCATCCGGAAGTGCCTGCGCTCACAAACCTCTATCGGATCACGAACGCCCAATCTTTGAGCATGCTGTGTGAAAATGAACCGCTCATAATCGAATCCTCCGGCAACCAGGACGTCAACCTTCGCTTTGAAGGGTCGGGTGGAGGTTGACTGGCTGGGAACCACGACCGTGACTGAGGAGTCAGTCTCGCATGCCAAATCGCAGGAGCGCGCTGAAGATGCCTCTGTGGCGCTCGAGCTGGTGGACATTTTGTTGTTGCGCGAACTGATTGTTGGAGTTATTGGAAACTTCCAGATCCGTCGCCCTTGAGCCCAAAGCCGTGTCGGGGATGCGACCACGAGGGTTCAGCCTCGAGGACCCGGAGACGATGTGAGCAGCATGGCCACCCCTCCCACAAATTTCCAGACCCCGTGCTCAACTAGTCCCTCAAAAGACAGGTGCGATGCATCCATACTTATCTGAGTAAAAGTCCGGATGTAAGGCGTCGACTCCTCTCGGGGTGCCCTACATTCAGTCCCACACAAGAAGCAATATACCTCTGCGGTCCCAGATGCTGGAGAGGGTAGTGTTGCCACAGCTGCTCTCGCATCAAAAGCACCTGGTGTCGAGGCTTATGGGGCCCTTGGCGCTGGCCGTACTGGCCAAGACCCCTGGTACGAGGAAGACACTTAGGAATGTGGTGAAATCAGGGCCATGCAGCGGTCACCCCGGCCTTGGCTGCTCCACCACATGGAAGCAACGTAAAAGCGGTGAAAACTGCTCTGAACCTAGATTTCCTGTCGGGACCCCCTACTTTCTGATATTGGCA